GAAGGCAGACGATTCCGCCATTAAGACGATGACGCGATTCAAAGATGTTTGCTTGTAAAATGCGATTCCTTCTCTTCGTTTGTAAATAATCTCATCTATTTTCTTCTATGTATGTAATTACTTTGTAGTTTGTAGCAACTATTTATGTTTCATTAAATATTCAAGTTATTTGTAAATTGGACTAGTTTATTAGCCCCTAGACAGCCACATTGGAAGTAAGTTTACGAACATCATATTCCTAGACAGTAAGTACCGATTCTACAGATTTATCACAAAATAATTAAATAGTTTTCAGTTAAAATAATGTTTTCGCTTTCTTCAAACATGAGAACAGAGTTAGGCTCAAAATGACGTGCAGTATCATTTATAATGCGCTAATTTACTATTTTCTAAGCTTATATGAAAATTCTGCGAACTTACGTTAGCAACGCTCTGATGTTTTAAAACCATGTTCGCAAATTTCACTTGATTTTACTTGTTAATTATTATCTCAATAATTTAGAATTAATTGCTATGTAATTGCTACTACTTTTCCAGGAGATTTTAAAGGATTCCAAGGAGACGTTTAAATGACAAATCTATTCTCACAAGCTTAATATCAGCAGCGATTTGGTACTTTTTCAAAATATTATGGCATGCCCAGCAAAATTAGCTGTGTTCTGAAGGAATTTACATTTCTACTGAAACTACATATTTGTTATTTAGAGGATACGAAGTAATTTATGCTGAATAACAAAGAGACATACTGCGCCTGTATGTTTAATATATAATTTTAATATTAATGTTATCTTATTTCTCATTACTCACTGTGATTACTATTATATTTTTTAATTTAAAAATGATTATAAAATTATTTTAATCCAGTGTTCAAAAGGAAACTGATGTGACTTCTTCTGAGCCTCAGATGGCTTCATCCCTATTTGTAAAAGACATGTCAAGCTCATATGTTACATAGATCTGTTAATTACACTATGTGCAAGTTATTGAAATTTATAAGGGCTTGCAAAAGTCTTAAAACATAATAATAATATTTTTCAAAAGAATTCTTGCCATAGCTATTGTAATCTCTACATATAATAAAAGAAAGAGTCTATGTGTCTTTCGTTTATGCTGCGCGTGAGCTACGAAGAGACCCAGGGCTACGAAATTTGGTATATAGGTGAGTCTAGACAAGAGCCAGTGCATCTCAAAGCGATTTTTTTAGAATTCGAATCAGATTTGTTTCTAATCTTTTCGATTTTATCGCATCATTTTGAATAGTTTCATTCTTTTAGAAATGTGGTTTTGGCAACAGTTTTTCATTCAGTTGATACTGGATTGCTGGCTGTTGAAAATCAGCACTGTTGCCACTTGGAAAAATGAGGGCGATAATTCTGTGCAATTTTTAAATTTAATGTTATTCTTGGACACTGGACGTTTGTGGAGAGAGGCAACGGGAAGTTGGTTAATTTATTTATTAGGATAATTAATATTTGTAGTAAAGAATATTGCTTATTTCATTGTAATTTTGTTATATGTAATACATTTTTATTTTAATTTGTGGAGTTTTTTTATGAAGTTGTTCTGCAGAGTAAAAATCTGCGCAGTTTTTAAATTTAACGTTTGGTGTTCCTCAGGCATTTTGCCGGTACATTTAAAAGCCAGACGAAGGCTGGCAGCTTAGTTGCTAGTTGAATAATAAAATATGCATTAAAAATTTATTTTCGTAATGGAATTCCTATTACTATTAAAGTTTTAAAACTTTTGTAACACAAGCAGAATGCAGAATGCTTTTAGGTACAAAACTTGGTGAGACACAAATGTGATTGAGTGTTATAAAATGTTTAGGAAAAGTAGAGATGCATCGAAGACGAACCTCGCTTTGGTAGACCATCCACTTCATTTAATGACCAGCATGTCTATCATGTCATTGCTTAGCGGTCATCATTTGTAAATTAAGAATGTTATTGAACAATTCCTCTATTATTAATTCTTGTCAAATAATTCTGGACATCACTTGGACTGGTGACGAGATGCTTTTCGAATTGCGCCACGAGCCCATGATATGCTTTCTGCGGAAGGTCATTCTTAAAACCCATTATTACTAGTGATAAATCCCAAATCTACGCTTTGGTTACAGTAGCACTGCATCAGTCAAATGTATAGAGCACGAAACTTTAAGCAAATTTGATTAAGATTACATTACAGTCAGTCAAAATCAAGAAAATGGTGATTATTTTTTCAACTCTCTACATATGAGCATTACGTACAGCAAGTCAGAGATCTAATACTTAATGACCAATTGTTCATAATATGGATATTACTGAACAAGTTCCTCTATTATTTGAATATTTTGAGACAGTTTTTAAAAGATTTTTTAAGCTCGTTAGCATCACTTCTCGAAGTGTTCCAGAAACGTTGATGAATCTTCAGTCATGAATTTCCACCATATGGCAAATTTATGAGCGAAAAATATTATGAAATTTTTAAAGCTTTTTTATTAAATAATTCAAAGAATACCTCAGAGAATTTTACCATTAAATTTTCAAAATCTTTAATAAAAGTATTTATTTTTTTAAATTCCAATCTAATCTCTTTGTATTTATTCCAGTTTAAAAGCCTAAAATAATTTTAAGCTATACACAGATAATTAGCCTACTATTTTAGGAACTAATATCCAGATATTTAAAATATTGTACATAAAATTCTGTATTTAAAACGGATTTTTAGAAACAGCAATGCCAAATGATAAAGAAAAAAATCTTCTATGATAGTATATCATCATAAATTATTGCCTCGTCGATACTTCTGCCCTTATTTATTAAAGAAAAGGCTTAAATTATTCAATAAATAACTGTATACATTCAATTTGTATTCTTTCATCGAATTACTTGAAACTGATATCATCAAGTGGCAACGCTACCTATTTTGTTCAGATGTTAGATCTGCTTTCTGAAAACAATGAATATGATGAAATTTCCTTCTAGATGGCTTTGTAACCAATCAAAACATGTCTGATATGGATCTAAATATGTTTTGCCTAGATTCAACTATAGGTAAAACTAGCTCATGGCAACTCAATATCTCACGTAGTAGGTAAATGAAAACATCTGCAATAACACAGATATTTTGCCAAAGGATTTCAGTTATATAAATTCCTGTTAAACATTTGGCTAAAGGTTAGTATTAATCATATCGATATTTTTTCTACTATATTCAATATTTCGTTATGTCTGTAATCAGCTGAATCTTTAATAATCATCAGTTATATTTGTCAGCTTAACATTCACAAATAAAATTCTATTAAATATTATAACACTCTTGTTATGAATAAAAAGAGTACGTATATTGTTAAAAGTCCGAGATAAGAACTAAAATAATGTCACAGAAATACGTTTTAAAAATTAATAACAATTTTGTGCATGTAACTTACGTTTTTAATAGAAAATATTCTAATTCTAAATCACGAAACGTTAATAAAAAGAATAAGACTTTTTTTCTGGAAGAAAACAACACTCATTAATAGTAATTTAGTTCTCAATTTTCTTCAGACGAAACCTCTTGCCGTAATTTTTTTTGTCTGTCTTATTACAGTGCATGTGAATTATTGCACATGAGTTGAACTATAAGTTATTTGCTGAAATATTGAGTATGATATATGAGCATAATATTTTTAAAAGGGTCCATTAAAAATAACATACATCGCCAACAAATCACTTTTAATTACTAATATTTTTGAAATATTTGCAAGAAACTTTGAAAGCGATAACTAGAGCGCTTTGAAAACATTGTCTAATACCGAATACCAAATGAAAGCAAAATATTTATACTAGTACTTAAAACGTTTCTTTCAAAACTGTATATTTAATTTCTAAGTTTCATTTCTTTCAACTACACGAATATTTATAACAATTTAGTACTTGGAACTATATTATGATATACAGTACAATCTTATTACATCGTCAATGGTATTGACTTGTCTAGCTACATCAGTTTCAAATTAATCATAACATTTAAAGCATTCCCAAAATAAGCATTCAAAGAAATACTGAAACACGAAACTGGATTTCATAACATTGAAGTTCATTTTCAGAACAAGAGAAGTACATACTGAAAATTCCACTTTTATGCGAATAACGGAATAGAAAGATGTTATCAGCCGGCCCGCAAGCAGAAAAAATTTAATAATGTTTCCGAAATTTACATAAAGGGATACTCAAATTTGATACTTTTTCCGTTGAATAAAATATTTACAACCACCATAAACTTTAAGTGGTGAGAATACTGAAGTCTTCTAACAGCGAAATTTCTTTGTTTTAATAAATCTTTTCTTTACAATAATAATAAGTAAATCATAAAGTAAAGTTCGAATAAAGAATAAATTATATTTAAAACTCTGATATAAAAATATTCAAGCTTAACGGATTAAGCTCGTTAGCAATACGATTAAAAAATGAATTGCGCAACTGGAAATGTACTGTTAGATCGCTAACATGGGAGTTAAGTTTAGAATCTACAATATGTTACTAATTTTATTACCTATAGATATACCGTATTATACCTATAGCTATACGGCATATATAAGATGCTTAAAAATTAATAATTAAGGAGATAATTCTCTTAAACACATAAAATAGCGGAAATTATGTCATTATGAACTACTTTGTCCTTGACAAAATTCATGTACTTTTTCAGCGTTCTTCAAGAAAAGAGCAAGTATTGCTAAACATATAGTCTCAATAAGGGGAAAAAAACTTCTTGTTAAAGTTAAAGAATTTGTTTTGAAATTGAAGCTGTCAGAAGAAGATAAAACAAAGTAAAATCAATAGTAAAAAGTTGTTAGTTTAGAGTAGATGCTACAAAATGTTCAACGTGAAATCTCCAGTTTAAGAGAATATAAATGAGTGTCCGTTACATGCAGATTTTATCTCAAATTCCAGCAGTTGCTGATGGATCGAGTATGAATGAATGGACGAAACTGAGAAGAGAGTCAAAGAGTGTCCATGTTGAGGGACACTTACCTCTCGCTTCCAAATTCTCTTCTACCTTCAGATGACGACCGCCTCGTCTTCCCGATGTTGGTTTTCAAAAAGGTTTCTTCCGTCTGCAGAGAAACTGCGAAGGAATTCCTGAAACTTATGCATTCCCTAAGAGATTCTCAAAATGGCGGAGCACATCACTCAGGTCTGCAGAGGTTCTTAGAGCCGCCATTGCACTGCAGAGACTCCGGAATGACTGCGCGGGCACTCTTCCCGAAAGCACATCACGTGATCGGATAGGGAATCGATAACTTAAATAGAAAGGGGTGCTTTCCTCTTTTTCCCCCATTTCTTCCACTTTAAAAAAAAAACTTCATTTCGAGGTTAGGATTTTCGATCACTAGTGCAAATCCTATTCTGAGATGGGTTTATTCGATTTGAGAGAGTTTATTTTGACAGTTATCCCTTTCACATTTGTTTCCCACAATACTCCTACCTTATTGGATAAGCACTATCAACTTTTATAAATCTGTCAATGATTTTTACTATTTCTTGATGATATTTTTCATAAAATAAATAACTTCAAGTGATCTGTATCTTTAGGATATATTTTTGAACTATAAAATAGTAGTTTATTGTGATTAAAATGTAAGGCAAACTTTTAAGAGTGTCAACTTATTATCACAAACGAAAGCTAATTTGTTAACAGCCCACCACTGGCGAATGATCAGAATCGAGAATCACTGACAGTACTTCCCAATTCTAAGTTTCATTTGCTGAAAAACATAGTTATGCGGTATTTTTGTCGTTCATTCCATCTGTATTGTAATTAACAGCTAATATCCCACAGAAAGTACTCGGTAAGTAAGTTTATGTGTTCTGTTACACATATCCGCGAGTGCATTGGCATGATTAATTCATTCACCGATATCTGAATTCACCGATATTAATTCATTCACCGATATCCGATTGTTTAGAAACATTCCTGACATAAAGGCAGAGTTAACTTTTCAAACGTTTTTTGATTTCTATGTAATTTTAAGTTATTCTAACTAAGAAGGATAATTTTTATTAACATAAGAAGTCACTATTATTAATAGGAAAAATCTGATATTTATGAAGTAAAATATTTATTGGTTCAAATACCTGCACAAATGTCAGCTTGTACCAATATTATCATTTTTTATAAAACAATTATACTAAATCGCGAATCTGTCATAAGATTGAAGAGTTTGGAATTAAATTCATTGTTTACGATTTAAAGAAAATTTTAGTTTAGTTTTTTTTTCAAAAACATTTGCCTTACAGATAGCCTTACAGACATTTCCATAAAATTCCACTCACTGAATTTTTAAACTTTACGAGAAAGAAAAAAATGAGCTTCAGAAAATTTTAGCATCACTTTTGCAAAGCATATGATTTGAAGCCGTGATCTCGAGCTCTCATATTACATGGCCCTCTAATATTTTTTCCATAAATAGAGCATTTTATGACATTAATTACTGTAGCAAGAATTTGAAAAAAAAAAAAAAATTCGAAATTTTGATGATTTTGAGTCCAGTTTTATATTACTTTCCCTATCAAAAATGAATGCATTGTATTTTTTAGTTGTTTTGTGGTTAATTCACTATATTAGAATTAGTTGAAATAAATTCAACTCTAAAAATTTATTATTTAGCTGTCAGTCTGTTAGAATTATAAAGTGTGACCAACAGAAATTTCTTGCGGATATCAACCTTTAAATTTAAGGCAGAAATTAAGTATAAATTTAATTTTTTTCTTTTTGTCATTTATTATTACTGTTTAGTTATATTTTGATAAATATATAGTAAATAAAGTATTTTAATTTAAATATTTTTTTCCTTTTTAACCATTTTATTTTATATATATATATAAATATAAAAACAGTTCCAATCCGTCACGCTTCAGATCGCGCATTCGCCCCGCGGGCATTTTGAATTAGGGACCACGGATTTAAATCATAATTTGCGGATTTATAAAAGAAAGGACCCCTCTTAACTTTTTGTCTCCTAGTCTCTTAAAACGTATTCTATGTTTATAAGATATTTTTAGCTTATAAAGTATTTTCTCCCTCCTTTCCGCATGCTTTCGTGGTCTAACGTTAGCACACTCAGACAGAGGTCCACGTTCGAGTCACAGCGAGGGTATGGCATATTTTTTACGTCTCCTCTTCAAATAAATAAATAAATAAATAAATAAAAACTAAATACACTGCAAGTGGTGCCCAAACTTGACGATAGTCAGTCACCACCAGGATTTGGCGATTGAGTCCCCAGATCCTCAGTCTCCCTTTAAAAGAGGGATTATATAAGGTAGCAGAGTTGGACGCAGCCCAACCCACCTAACCAAACAAGTTGGTCTTACAGTCAGAACAGGAAACACCCAATTTAGCAAACGAAAATAAGTAAAACATAAAATAAATAAATGAAAATAATCATGGGTTAACGCATGATTATTTTCATTTAGTTATTATTAAGGATATTTTCTCCCTTTTTTCCGCATGCCTTCGTGATCTAATTAGAAGCGTACTCCATGCATATTAGAGAGGTCCAGCTTCGAATCCCGGCGAAAGTATTGCACATTTTTCCCCCTCTCCTGTTTCAAAATAACCTAATGTCTCTGCGAGCTAACTCTTTGTTTTCATATTAATTCTTTTCTACACTTTCTAATCAAGTTGTAGATACATTAGGTATTTTTTTGTAAGAGGACGAGATGAAAAATTAGCAACGCTTTTGCTGGTAATCGAACCGCGGACCTCTCAATTACGCGCTGAGCGTACAGACCACTACACCACGAAAGCTCGCTAAGAAGGCGAGAGAAATTCCTTATATACCCCCCTTTTAAAAGGCGACTGGGGTTTTTAGGGGACCCAATCGCCAAATTCTGGGTGAGGAGAATTATCATCCAACACCTTTTTAGTTCGGGTGCCACTGCAGAGACATTAGGTATTTTTGAAAGCAGGCAAGATGAAAAATTAGCAACGCCTTCCCCGAAAACCGCGGAACTCTCAATTACGCGCTGAGCATGTGTTAGCATAAATTTAGGTATTTTGCATAATGAAACTCGAAAGGCATGCGAAACGAATGTGCGCCAAGATATATATTGGCGAGAGAAAGTAAAGTTCGCGTGTAATGCAGTATATTTGACTTTCACCTTAGCTACGTGCAGTGTATTCGATTTTCACCCTAGCTACTTATATCACGGCCAAAGGTCTAATTCAGTTAAGTTAAGTTATAGTCTCTTTTTTCAGGTACCGTGTCAAAGTATGTTCCTGGTTTTTTCTTATTGCCTAAATAGGTATGCTTGAAGCCGTATGACTTATATTTGTATGTAAGTTATCTCCTTTTCGATAATTCGGTGTTTTAATGTCTGTGAAGATTATTACTTTTTGTTATGCTTAAGTTAAGCAAAATTCTCCGATTTTATTAAATAAAGATTTCGTAGTTAATTTTTGACTTATGATTCTTTAATGAAAACTGCGCCTGAGGAAACTTACTCATTACGCCTTTAGTGCTAATGCAGAAACCAACAGCATGCAGCTCACTACACCATGAACGCTCCATTAGAAAGATACACCTTATAAAGTAAAGGGCTATTTTAAATATCAGATAGTTGTTTATCACTGAGACGCCCCATACGTATGCTTATATGAGTGATTTTACATTTATTAATGCTCAGGCTAGAAGTCTCGATAGCTGAAAACGGGTTAGTGAGGTTCTAAAATCTATCTTCTGTATTGTACGTGTTCAAATATCTGAATTTTTGATACCCTGATGCTGATCTCTAATTTAAACTTTAGCTATACTACAGGCTTATGGCTTGCTTGTATTCTTGAAGATCAGGCTTTCATTAAATACGAAGAGGAGAATTTGTCATAAAGGTATTATTAACGTGGTATGATTTATGCAGTTAATTAGATTTATTCTTACCAATTTACAACTTTTAAAAACTTAATTAATGATTTACGTACATAATTTTGGAACATTAAGCGACTGGGACTTGCGCAACCACTTTAACCCGTTTGTGTTTTCAGCTCTCAAAATGCTTATTTAAATGGGATTGAAAAGCTTAAATAAATGTCCCCTTGAGATGAGATTCTCGGAAAGAAAGGTAAGCCACATTGAAATTTTTGGTGCTCTGATTACACTCTGTGGAATGATAAGGATGTTAAACACCACTCTGTGAAATGATTTTATAAATAAGTACCTTACAAAATATAATTATATTATTTGTAGTTGTTCATATCCTCACGATAACGTAACTAAGTAGTTTTGATTCATTTCACAAGAAGCATATTACAGTTAAAATCTTGTAACGCAGTGTAAACGACTTACGTAACTTTTCAGAAGAGTATAAATATTTTTCAAAAATGCTTGGATTAAAATGTTCACTTGAACTTATTTTCGAAGATGTGATTAGTGGAAAATTTTATGAATGAAGAACGATACGTTAATGAATAGATGTTACTTCTCAAAAGCAGCCTGATATTTTTTACCACTTTAGTTTACGACTTCTAAAAGAATTTATTAAAAAAACATTCAAATGAAACATTATTTTTGTTATCTTACGACTGACGTTAAATCTGAACAGTAGAATTAAGCTTATCTATCTCTTACAAAAGCGTTTTAAGAGTGCGATCTTAACGTTTTTTTAACAATCTGTTTTTTAGCAGTTATTCTTATCGTATTTTCCTTAGAAAGCATTAGTTTCAATATAAAACGGATTGAGATTAAATGTTAATTTTTCTAATATAAAAGTTCTGAAAAGGAAACATTTAGGAAAAATAATAAAATTTCAGATTCATGTACAATAAAAGTGTTTTTGCACAAATACTTTAGATATTTTGGGTCTTAAACTCGTTTTGTTTGTCATGTTGAATGTTGTTTAATTCGTTTGTATTATTTGTTTTGAATCATGTCCTATAAAGCTATAAACAATGTAAGTATTTTTAATTTTGTTTATTCTTGCTTATAATGCACTTCATTATTAAAAGAATGTGAAATATTTAGTTTCGGGTAAAGCGCATAAGAGATTTTCTTTCTTGTTATTTTCGTAACTTGAATTTCGGAACCAAATGCTTGAATTTTTCTCAGCTTCAACATTTTTCGATAATATAAAAATTAATGGATTTAATTGCACAATTATTTTCAAAACTAATTTTTTGTAACGGAAAAAGAAATGTATTTCAATCGAATCTTTATTTGCATTCATTACAATTAATTTAAA